GCCTTTCCCTTCTTACATTGTGATAGTGGATAAATTGGCCTACATACTCAGGATGAGTCAGATTGTGCTAGCCACCTGGCAGGGGTCCTGTGTTCCGAATCCCCATTTGTAGTGATAGCTATCTGGGGTAGCCACTTAACAAGAAGAACATCCTTTGGTGCCAAAGAAGGAAAGAGAGCCACCCCAGATGTTGGGCAGGGTGTCAGGTCATGGACCTTACCCAGGTTCCGCCCACAGCCTCTCATCACTTGATCAACACCGCCTCGTTGCTCACCACCGTTAGGTGTGTGGCTGACTGCTTAGGCATGACTCTTGGCCCGCCACTCCCATTCCTACGGTTTACGTGTGCATGGAGTTTTTGAACGCTGTTATTACATACAGGGAGATGCACAGATATTAAGTTGTATTGATCTTAGAATAATTTGAATTTTGACTGAAGTGTACAGCTTCTATAACCCACACCCCAATCCCAAGAGATGGTTCATCTCTATCATCTCAGAAGTTTCCTTCCTGTCTCTCCTTAGCACTTCTTGCCCCTCACCCCAACTTCATCTTTGGGTGGTGAGTCTTCTGCTTTCTAGCTCTGTGTATTAGGTTGGAGACCATGGATTTGAAAACACACAATTTCTTCTCTCAGATTTCATTAATTTGCCATCATTTGTGTAACTGTATAATTTGAGAGTACAACTTTGTCTTTCTGCATATGTACGTGCTTCACTTATCTGCCACTGAAGTTCCAGTACCAATATCCTATTACCTACAGCCTCCCCCACACCCTCCTCCCTCCCCACCATCCTCTCTGGTAACCAATATATTTGTCAGGGGAAGAATTATTTTTGTTGTATTTTGCCAGTGTGTTTTCTTTGTCTCTTTATATTCTATGAACGAGTGAAGCCATCTGGGATTTGTCTTTCACTTTCAGACTTACTTCATTTAGCATAGTCACCTCAAGATCCTTCTATTTTGTCACAAAAGACACTATTTCATCTTTTAAGTAGCTGAGTAGTATTCCCATGAGTATATGTTCCCCAGCTTCTTTATCCAGCCCACTGTTGGGCACGTAGGTTGTCCATGACGTAGCACATGTCTTTTCCTACTAGAGGGTCCATGTCTTGGGTAGCTACCTAGTGGTGGCAATGCTGCTAGATCATGTGGTGTTTCCATTTTAGGTTTTGTGGTGGTTTATTTTCTCATAATCTCCATGCTGTTTTCCAGAAAGCATAAAGGTTGTGCTAAATGACATTCCTACCACGAGAGGATGAGTGTAACTTTTTCTCCCCATCTTTTTGCCATTCACACAGGGTGAGGTGGTTTTGATTTGCATTTCCCTTTTAGTAAGTACCTTGAACATTCTTTCTCGTGGCTGTAGGCCATCTAAATGTCTTCTTTGGAGAGGTGTCTTTGAGTCTTTTCCCCAGTTTTTGACTGAATTGTTTGTTATTTTGTTGTTGAGGTGTATGAGCCCCTTGTCAGATGTGTGATAAACAAGTATCTCCCAGCGACAGTTGCCTCTTAGCTTTTGTGATGATTTCTTTCACAGTACAGAGGCTTAGTAGGATGTAGTACCGTTTGCTTAATTTTGCTTTTGTTCCCTTTGCCGTTACTTGTGTTCCCAAATATACCTCTGTGGCTGATGTCCAGGAATGTCTCCCCTATATTTTCCTTTACATCTTCTGGGGTTTCGGGACTTATGTCCACGTCTTTAATCCATATTGAAATAATTTTTGCTTGTCTGTAGTTAATGATCTAGTTTCTTTTCTTTCTTTCCTGTGTGGCTATCTGGTTTTCCCAACACTGTCTGTTAAAGAGGCTTCGCTCTCTCTATTGTCTGGTCATTCTTCCTTTGTCAAAGGTTAACTGTCTTGTGTGGGATAACTTTTGGGTTCTCTGTTCTATTGCATTGGTCTGTGTTTTCTGTTTTGTCCAGGACCATACTGCTTTGATTACTCTCACTGTAATCCAATATAAAGTCATTTTTCTTCTTTTCTCTCAGGAGTGCTTTTGCCACTGGTGGTTTTTGTGGTTCCATGCAAACTTTAGAATTGCTTGTTCTGTTTCTTGGAAAGTGTCCTTGGGATTTTGATTGGCATTCTGAATCTGTTAAATGCTTTAGGTGACGGGCCTTATTTTTCCAGCCCATGAGTACTGAATATCATTCCACTTGTTTTTGTCCTCTTATAATTCCTTTGACAGCGTCCTACAGTTTTCAGTATGTAGGTTCTTCACTTCCTTTGTTACATTTGCTCCCAGGTTTTCATCCTTTATGGTGTGATTATAAATTGTGGTGTTCATTAATTCCTCTTTCTTGTAATTCATTGCAAAACATACAGATTTTCTTAATGTCAAAATAATATTTATTCAGGTAAATCAGTGCTTCTCAATGAGGGTGAATTCCCCCTGGAGATCCAAACATTGGACAGGTTTGGAGACATTTGTGACTCATGAATGGGAAGGGGTACTACTGGCATCTAGTGGGTGGAGGCCAGGGATGCCACTGCGCCTCCTCCAGTGCATAGGGTAGCCCTCAACAAAAAAATTATTCCACCCAAATGTCAGCAGCACTGGGACTGAGAACCCCTGAAGTAAAAGCATGTGCTCTCTGCAGAGAGAAGTGTGACCTGAGGGATTCTGGGATGAGCTTTGCTTTTTGTTTCCTTGTTGAGAGCTGGCAGGGAGCTGAAAGGGCAGCTGCAGGAAAGGGCTTGGGTGCTGCCACCCTTTGACCATGGTTACTGCCATGGAATGGAGTGAGGGTGGCCTTGCGGAAGAGCAGCAGAAAGAAGAGGAGGAAGAAAAGAACGTGGGCCTTAGCTGGGGCAGCCTTAGCATAACGTTAGACCTGGAAAAGTAAGAGCGAAAAATAAAGTAGAAGTTAAGACTGCTGCTATCCACCTGTGTCTATGCAGGTGTCTTTTTTTCTTTCTCCTTTTTCTGGTAAACAAAGGGCTGGAACAAAAAGAATAGCAGAATCAAGAATCCATTAGCCTTTACAATTTAAGGTTTAAAAAGCAAGTCAGTTGAGATTGGAAGTGGGTAATAATCATTAAGAACATAAAAGTGGAAACCTAAAATGATAGAAGCCCATGAGATGAACAATGAAATGTGTGAAAAGTAGATAGGATTAAGGATTGAAAATGGGAATGAAAAATTAAAAGGTCAACCTGACGCAGTTTACCAGGGGAGGATGAGAGCAGGAAACACTCTGAAACCCCAGTGCTTAGAAGTGCCAGTGCTAAAGGCGAGTGGGGAGGGGTGGAGCATGGGCTGTTGCAAACAAGGGAGAGTCTGAAGCGAAGTCCAGGCAGGGCCAGCTGGCCTTAGTGGAAAGTCCCCAGTCCAAGCAGCGTTGTCAGTAGGTCACAGACAGACCCAGAGGGCAGTGAGCACTGAGTTTCTTCCTCCAGATACCAGAAGCCTAATCTGCCTCTCTGGGGGCTGAGGAAGCAGACTCCCTTGTGGGAACTCTGGGGTGACAGGAGCCTCAGATGGCACAGCTTCTCTCAAAGAGCTAGGAGGTGGGGAGCAAGAACTGTAGATTTCTTCACTTTCAACTGAGTTTGAAAAGCAGTCAATCTCCTTCTCTGTAGGCACAGTGGTTCTTTTGAGGGGAGGGAAATGTTGATCTCTCTGGGTTGGATCAGGCTGCTGCTGGGCCTGCCTAAGAGCAGTGATGGGCACAAACTATGCTGGCCGACACCTACAGTAGCTGGCTAACCTTTACCCCAAAAGCGAGAGAAATTTGTGACAGTGTTGCCTCAAAATTAAGACCTTTCAAGATGTACACTTAATACTCCAGGATGTGTTATTTTTAAACCAGTGAAAGTAGTAACGAGTCTTTTATATATATAGCTAGAAGTTCTTTATTTGCTTCTAAGATAATGGGATTTCCTTTTTGTGTCACTCTAGGCATGCATACGTGTCAACAGATATCTTAATGTTCTGTTTGATATTTTATAGTTGGTGGGTATTATAGAATAATCTCGTCTGTCATATTACAGGCACTACAAATTTTAGTCGTCTGATTTCTGTGATGCTAAATCATGCGTAAGTAGTTAGAATGAGGTCTGCTACTCATTTATTTTCACCTCTCTTCTGTACATTCATGCAGACAATGAATAATTATTGAATATATTTTTACATGCTAGGCACAAGCCATGGGCACCAGGAGAACAGAGTAAGACTCAGCCTCATCCCAAAAAGACATCCTATCTGGTAGAGAGAACTTGATAGACATAAATAAATGATTAAATTAAAAAAACAATGGATCTGCCTCCTCTTAGTTGTATAAAGAACAAATCATCTATCGGACATTTTAGGAGAGGGGTCAGCGTGTCCCAGCCCACAAAGCTAAGAAGCTTGGGAGATACATGGTGAGTGCGGGTTCTGTGGGAGAAGACAGGGACAGACGGAGTTAGAGGTGGTTTGGGTCACATCATAATAGGCCTGCTTGGTCCATGAAAAAGTCCTACGTAATGAACACTGAAGGATCGCAAATAAGGATAGAAGGATCTTCAGATCTACAGAAATAATCTTCGCTCTGGTGAGATCATTAAAAAGTCCCTTGGTGATGGTGGTAGGGATGTGTGTGTGTGTGTGTGTGTGTGTGTGTGTGAGAGAGAGAGAGAGAGAGAGAGAGAGAGAGAGAGAGAGGGAGAGAGAGGGAGAGAAAGAGAGAGAGACTTTTATAATTTAAGATTTATTCTATGGCACTTCCTCTGTTTGTAAAAGCATCTATATATTTTTATTTTACTTGAAAGGTTAAGTGCAAAAACTTAGGAACTGTCGTTTGGAAATTAAAATTAAGTTGACCTGAAATTTTAAGTTTGTGAGAATCTGTTTTTTAGGCTCTGACTGCCTCAGAACTTCAAGAACACATTTGTTTCTCATAAAGCCATAAAAGCCTTTCAGGGCAGGAGTGGCTGAGGGTATGAATGTGCTCATGCTGTGCACATCCAGTTTGTAGCTCTGAGAGGAGGCTCAAGGTTGCTTTTGTGTTCCAGGTAATTCGGAGGTCCATGGGGCCAGCCAGCCTGAGTCTGCTCACCTTCAAAGTCTATGCAGCCTCGAAAAAGGACCCACCTCCTAAAATGTCTGTGAAAGTTGATGAGGTAACATACTGTTCATATTGTGATGGATTTCAAATGTCTGACTTAGTTACTGTAGAAAATATGCAAATCATACAGCCTGATGTACAACTCATACATGACAGTTTAGAAGATATTAAAGGGAGGAAATATATTTCCATATAGTTTCAGGTTTTTTGCATGGGAAACCTCCACTAAAGTGTGACTTTTTCAACAATTTAATGGACTTAGCTAAGAGTATTATTAAGGAATATTTTTTAGAATTTTGGAGGGGAATCTGCTATGTCCCAGTTAAGTTGTAAGCTCAACTCCCTTGTAAGTGATAGGTCTGATTCTACACTGCTTGTCAAGCCAAGGAAACATTTGCCTTTTCCCTCTAAGAAAATAAAAGCCTAGGTTCATTTTGTTTCTTGGCTGGATTAGAGACTCTTAAGTAGTGCTTAATAAATACCAAGTAAATAAAGCAAGGAATCTCTTCTCATTGTTTACATTCTTTTCTATCCCTACTCCCCACTGATTATTTTGAATATTTGGTTTCTGTTGACTTTGAGTAATGACATAAAGTTTTACCTTCAGTTGTGGACAGGTTTACTTAAACTGTGTTTACATAAAGCTAATTAGCTTATTTAAAAAATATTCTAATCTCTTTTTTGTTATTTATCTATGCATACAAGAACTGGGGTATAGGCCAGAGGTGGGGGTGAGAGGTTTTATCAGAGCCAGAGTGGGGAGCAGAACAGGAGGGTCTACAGAAATCCACTGCTGAGGCGGGTAGCAGGTGAGACAGGAGAGGTCTGCTGCATCATGTGGGTCAACTTGCTGAGGGTCGAACTTGGGCCACAGTGACTGTGCTATGTATGCACTTTGAAATTTCTTTGTTTTGTTTTTTAATATAGCTTTCACTCTACACTGTTCCCGAGGGTCAATCTAAATATGTGGAGGAGCCAAGGACCCAACTTGAAGAAAGCATCTCACATTTCCGACATTATTGCGAGCCATATACAAGTTGGTGTCAGGTATAGATGTTCTGAAAATGGGTGAATACATTTCTTTTTAGAATCAGTAGTAAGAATTCTGTAATGGTCACGTGTGTTCTGAAAAAAGTGTGACAAAGGAGACAACTTAAGAGTGCCTGACTTAGAGTGTTCATCAGTGCCATTTCTGGGGGCTCAGGTGGAGGGAGGCAGAGAACCCTAGCTTCTCACGGCAGCTGCTGGCACAGCTGCAGAGAGAGTACCCCTGCCATTGGGCAGTATGTGGCACCTTGACTATAGCTCAGAAAGCTGGTGAGTATCTCATTGGTCATGGCTATAAGAGCTTGATTGTCTGCTAGGGAAAGGGGGTAGGGCAGAGACTTTAGAAGGAGAACACAGTGTAAACAGTCATCTGAGATGTGGGAGGTTTTTTCCCTCCAGAGGTTCAGCAAATCAGTGTCACTGGAAGCAGGATCGGCTAGAGAGCATTTGGATGCTGCTCCGCTAGGCGGTTGGGCACTAAGAGGAGGGTAGAGTCATGTATTTGAGCACTGAACTATTGGACCCAGTGACCAAACAACTACATGACAGATTGGCTTCTGTCACTGCTCAGATTTTAGATCTCTAGAACAGGCATTTTTCTTAATGGCATTTCTGTGATGTTTACCATCTAAAACTGAGGCGTACAATCTATAGAATGATTTTATGGGCTTTGATATATATAGTTGCCATAGTTGATCTTAATTTTGAAAATTGATGAAAAATTAGTAAGAAATGATGTATCTATGATGTAGATTTACTTTGCTTGACATTTACAATCTGGAACTTGTTTTGAAGTTTTTAATTTCCACCATTTATGTGTGTCATTGGTGAACTTTTTATTCACCAATTTATAAATAAAATAGTAAGAGTCAGCTGTTATACTTAAGTATCATGATATCATTGAGTTATAAAATACCTAAAAGACTTTATAAATAATGTGTTGTAAAACACTTAGAATTTATCCTCCTGTTCTAGAAGATTTTAAAACCATCTGCTGGTGGTTAAGGTCAGCAATTGTCCAAATATTTTTGTATCATGTAAGCATGTTTACTGTTATTTTTCCTTTTCCTTTTTTTTGGGGGGAGGGTTATAAAAGTATTTTGACTTTTAACTTTCAACCTAACTTTCAACCTAACATTTTTATTTTTTCTCAATTTTTCTTCTGTGCATGATATTCATGTAATGCCTCTCTAGATGAATCATTATCAACATGTTTATTTGTAGTATATATTTGTAGTAAAAAGGCTTTCTCGTGATTACAGTTTTTATTTTCCTAGTGTGGTGTTTTTGTGAGTGGAGATCATTCTGATTCCCGCTTCCTATCAGGCCAGCACTTCCTAGCCCCTTTCTAAGGGAATAAATTTATTTTTCTTCATAGTGAAAAGATTATGCTAGCAAAAAAAGAGAGTAGTCACTCTAGACATTGAACTATAGGTTTTCTATTTTTTTTTGTGGACAGAGAAAACCTCAGTGGATTTTCATGAAGTAGTGTTCAGTTCTTTATGTGCTTTCCCAAATTCAGCATTTATTATTTGGGGCCACTGAAAACTACTGTTTTGGCTTTAGCTGAATTCAGTAAAACAAATCTCTTTGCAAGTGGCAATTGGTTCTGTTCCCTTCTGCTACCCAAGGACTTTTTCCCATTTCCACTGTAAACGTTTTGAAGGTGGGTACCTCTTAGCGGGTCCCTTGTTTGCTCTAGGATCACCTGGTAGTCCTAGACAAAGCCTTTTTATTGTTGTTGCAAGAATGTTAGCCTTCCATTTGCGTCAACATTGGGGTATGTAGCTCTTCAAATAGATACAGACTCTGTGTCATTAAAGCTGGTGGTTCTTGCTTCAGCTGGGCAGTTTTCAGGTAGAGGCTCTGAAGTCATGGCAAGGGAGGAAATAGACTTACTGTGAATGAGATTTGAGCTCATGGGGAAAGGATTGTCACTTTTACCGTCAAGGGGGTTGTTTTTGTAGTCTATTGTCCTTGATTTTTAATAGAAGATGAAACGGCTGGGTCATCGACACCACTTTACTTGAAATTTCTGTTTCCTATGGCAACAGTAAGATGTTCTGCTGAGCTTTTGGCGTTGAAGGGGAAATTACAAAGGAAATAAAAACCAGCTAGACAGTTAATCCCTTTGCTCAAAAAGTGTTCATGACTTGATCATTTATTCAGTAGAGACAAATATAGTTGACACTTGAATAACATGGGGGGATGGGGCACCTGACTCTCCCATATGCCGTCATAAATCTTATATAAAGCTTTTGACTTCCCAAGAACTTAAACTACTTAAGTATTGGTTAACAGGGATAGTCAATTGACATGTATTTTGTATGTTACATGTTTTACATACTTTAATTTTAAAGGAAGCTACAGAAAAAGTATTTATAAAGTTGTAAGGATGAGAAAACACAGTACTATATTATATTTATTGAAAAGTATCTGCATGTAAGTGGACCTACACATTTCAAACCTGTATTGCTCAAGAGTTCACTGAATCTTTAACCTTTCTAATCGGCAAATCCCTACTCATACATTTTCTTGTTCTATTTTTAGGAAATGTATTCCCAAACTAAACCCAAGATGCAGAGTTTGTTTCAATTTGGCTTAGGTAAGTTGATTTTTAACTGGACATGTTTGGTTTCTTTGTTAACAGTGAATTCTTTAACTGGGGCGCTTTGGACCGGTCTTAGGAGATTTGTGAATTCCTTCAAATTGCATGCAGAATTTCAGAGCTCTGTGAATTTTCCTGGAATGAGGAGCTAATGATGTCAGGTTTCAGAGGACTAGTGTGCTCCTACAGTGGAGTATATCTCTGCAAGAACATTACATCGCTGGGCTAACAATTGTGGATACACGGGATTTAACTTTTATTACTGGTGGGGTTCAGAACCAGGACTGCTCATTTGCACAACTATTAATACGCATTACAGAAGCTTAGAGGCAGGATGGGACTATATCTGTGTCTGCGAGTGGCCTTACTTGCATAATTAGTAGTGTTCCTACTTTATTTTTCCCATTTGGCTTTTATTGTCTTTGATTGTTTATCACATGCCCTTATCACATACACTCATAAATTGGGTTCACAGTCTATATTCTGACTAGTCTAGGGAACTGGTGAATTGGTAGACATTGATTATATTTCATTGCCCTTTGTGGGCTTTTCAACAAATCAAAATCTTATTTTTACAAATGTTTGTTTCCTTGATGGACTAGGATAAAAATGAGTTCATTTCGTTGCAAATATGATCATATTGTGTTGATATACTGATACTCCTGAGACTGTCAGATAAAATTTTCATTTGTTGCTGTATTGATAGTCTACCAGTTTTTTCAGTTGTGTGTGGATGTTTGTAAGTAACGTAAATTTTATTGATTTCATAAATACTATGTGCCAGGTAGTAGTCTATGTGCCAAAAATATTAATACAGTAATATTTATAATAACACTAACAATATACACCTTTGCTTTTGAGCTGAAGAATCTAAAGAATTCCTGATCTTTACTGAGGGTTCTCTTCATTGTCACCCATCATTTCCCATTGCTTCATAGCAGTAGGCATTATCTGCCGTATAAGTGTTTTTTTCTTTTCTTGGACTTGCGGCTACAGCCTCTTAAGAAGGAAATCCCATTATGAGTTGTGTTGTTTACCAGGGCAGTCAGTCCATTTCCCAGCAGTCACAGCCAGAGTGTGTTACCAGAAACTGGGCTCCAGCTGCAGTGCAGTCTTATAGCTTATCTCTTTTCCCATTTCTTTGTGATTTCCCCACTTCAGCTCAGCTCACCACGGCAACCGGGTATCCATCTATTCACTGTTCATATCTAGAGTTCAAAACACCATGTTGGCAGCAAAAATAAAGGAAAATAGGAAATTACCCCAGAGGTACCAGACAGAGGATAGGAAGTAAAAACGGCATTAAAGGCAAAATAAATAACAGGCCAGTCAGGAATTAGTGTCAGCAATGCAAGACCTAGAGTGGTATTTTAAATGATCACCATTTCCCCCCAAAGAACCCAGGGAGAAGAAAACTGACCTGTGTCTAGTATTGTTGTGGGGGTTGGGGAGGAGAATTACTGAGATTTCCAAGTATTTCAGTTCTGTCTACATTTGTTAAGGCATCGATCATGCCAGGCACCGATGATTATTCAATGCCAGCACAACACAAAGAACAGAGCACTCATTGAAGGTACAGAGGAAGGAGACTACTCACTGAAGACTGAGGAGATGGGAGCAATCAGAGAAGTGTTTGAAAGATGAATCTCGAAGGAACAGAGTTAGTTATACCATAAGATGGGGTCAAGACTTGGGTAGCATTCTACACAGGACACAGAACATGATCAAGTCTTAGAGGGGGTGACTTAGTTATGTGTGCAGACTGGGTATTCTACAGATAAGCTAGAGAGAGCATGCATGCAGAGAAAGAGACGTGAAGGCTTTTGAAGTCATGGCCTAGCAGACCCCTCCTAGCAATGCTGTTAATAAATATCCACTGGGTGAGCATATACACTGTTATCAGAGTGAAAATAGTGTAGAATTCCAGGCAGTTCACCCTTAAGGAGCTTCTGGTCTCCTTGAGACATAAAATACACCCCTGAATAATTAAACACAAGGTGCTATAGAATTGTGTCCCAAATGAAAGTACAGGAAATAAATATGATGAGACTGGAGGAGGAAGAAAGATCTGGGCTGACTAGCCTATGGACAGCCTTTCTCAGGAGCTAAGGCTTGAACTGGTACTTACTTAGTAGAATTGACTCAGTGGAGAGGAGAGAATAGTTACCACTTGAAGCAGGCACATAAGGCTCCATTCAGAATAAGACCATGCGTTGCATTTGCTTTCATATATTTTATCACCTTCAACAAAGACTGTTTCCTGAATATATTTGCATTACAGGTTTTTTTTCATTATCCAGGCTTCTGTTTATGAGTTCAAATAACAAGTTCAGGTGGCAGGATACTTCCCCACTCCCTGAGTCTGATGTAGTTTATTTCCAAGTTTCATAGAGCAGGCAGCAAAGTTTCAAGAAATTTATCCAAATCTACTTTCTTTCTGTGTTTGGGGAACAGTAATTTGGATAGCAAGAGATCGCTGTACTTGTATTTTTTCCATGTGAATAGTTATTACTAGTAGATTGTTGACCAGAGGTGTTTGAAAATTGGATACCTGCTATGTGAATGGTAAATCATGTTTATATATCACATGAAAAGAATGTTGAAAGGAAGTGTGTTAGCAGAAGGCAAAGGATATATCATTTGAAAAGCATGTCATACTATATATACAGGTCATATATAATTTTGTTTTTTTAACGAACAATTTATAGAGCTGTTTTCCAATCCAATTCTGTTGCAGACAGCTATGATTACCTCCAAAATTCGCCTCCTGGATTTTTTCCAAGACTAGGTGTTATTGGTTTTTCTGGCTTTGTTGGACTCCTTTTGGCTAGAGGTAGGTACAGTTTTGGGGTTTTTAAAAAATAATTCATAAAGGAGAGATAATATATATTTTTGTTCTTTTGATTTACTAATTTTCAGGAATATAAGTTATTTCCTTGATACGGCCTTTTAACATATACTTGATACGGTTGTTTTCTCCAGTATATTTGATTTTGAACATATGTAGAAGTAAATGGAAAAGTAGTGAAATGTTATACTCCTGGTTAGAAGAATGAATTTAGTTATCTTTTATAGGTACATTTACTTGATCAAATAAATCTCTATCGCTCTTTGGTATAGAAAAGTGAATTTTCGTTAACCAAAGTTTATCACACCTGAGAAATTGTTTCTAAATATTTCATTGAGATCAGGCTATTAGAGTAAATAAAACAGTGCTAGCACAGAGATTTTATTCTTGCTGTATCCTGGCTTCAGTCATTGATGATATACAAACTTTAAAATTGCTTGAAAGCTAATGTGCGTCAACCTAAAAATATTAATATGCTACACTGATAGGTTACAAAATATAAGAAATAAAGGATGGTCTTTTCACAAACCTGTTCCCTCTGTAAAGCAGCCGGCACAGCTCATGTCTGTGCAAGCATCTCCTGCTCTCCTTTTCCCAATAAACCTGTCCTTTTAAAAGGTAGAGAGAAGAAAGGATGGTAAAAGACTTCAGTATAGTGCACTTGTGTACTGCTTGAAGTTTCCCTGATTATACAATAAATGTTTATGTTATGAAATTCAGACTTTACAAAAATTCCTAAAATAGTTTCTGAGGCCTGTACTCACAGCACCCCTTCGTAACAGAGAATTGCAGAGACTGGTTGGTACCCCCAATTTTCAAAACCTTTTCTATACTTGCCTTAGCCATTATTTATGAGCCTGGAGAAACACTGCTTCTCCCCTAACTGTGGGAAGGACTCCTGTCAGTCCAGTGCTCGCCTTCTGTCACAGAGCACAAGAATTAAATTGAGTTCATTTGTACTAATCCACTTGCAGAAGAGTTGAACCACCTCCCCTCGTTTCCATCTTCTTCCCCTTTCTTTTTCTATAAAGCTCCTCAGAAAAGCCTTTCTGTCTTATTGAGGTAGTGTGAACTGCAGGAAGATCGCCACGCCAAGGTGCTGGAATTTTGGCTAGCGCTGGGGACCAGGAATGTGGAGCAGATGAGCTGAGCTGCTCCCCTCTGTCAATGTTTAAACCATGTGGGGTTATATTGCAGCCCTAAAGAAAGCTCTTTAGGTAGATGGGTTTATCCCCCCTACATCCCCTGGGGTGTCCATCTGAGGAGGGTCCCGTTCTCTTGTTTGTGTTCCTTGTTTGTTCATTCCTCTCTTTCTTTTTCCTCGGAGTGCTCAGTAGGTTAAAATAACTTAAAACTTTAATCTTTTTTCAAAAAGTACAAGCACACACACTCAGGAATATTAACTCTTGTCATCCTGCTGTACATTAGTGCTCTATCTCCCCGTTTCCCCCACCTTCCCACTCCTGGTAAGCGTTGTTATACTCTCTGCTCCAGTGTATTTCACTTTCTAAAATTCCACATATCAGGTGAGATCCTGCAGTATTTTCATTGTGCATCTGGCTTATTTCACGTATCATATTTGTCTTGCCAGTCCCTCCATGTTGTTGCAAATGGCAGGGTCTCCTTTAAGGTTCAGTAATCTTCATTGCATATGGACACTGCACTTTCTTTATCCGTTTACCCATTGGTGGGTGTGGATGTTGTTTCCATGTCTTTGCTGTGGTAGTTCTGTGATGAGCATGAGTGCGCAGCTGTATTTCCAGACACTGATTTAATTTCCTTCCCAGAAGTGGGATTCTGGATCATCTGATAGGTTTTCCTGAGTGTATCTGCTAAGGTGGTTCACCCTAGTTGATGAGGATGGCCACAACTGTGGTGGTGACAGGAGACTTCCAGAGAGGTGAGTGGATGATCATTCAGAGGAAGTGGGCCCAGCCAGGCCACTCAAGGGTGGCAGGTGTTTGCTATCCACTAACCACTCTGGCAGTACTGAAGGAGCCCACAGTGCTAGCTTCTTGGGAGGTGAGGCCTCACACTTTCTTCGGAAGCTCTGGAGTCCCTAGCTCATTACATGAACCAGCAGGAGCTGAAGGCTCAAGAGCTGCTGCTCACCAGCTTTCCCTAGAGGAGTGGGAAGTGGCTGGTTGGCAGCTTTGCTGCTCTTCAACTGGTCCTCACCTGTGTGAGCTGCCCAGGTGCTTGAAGCTTCAAGTATACAGGGAGGACCCCTGGGGTCTAACCTGCCTTTCTAGAACAGTTATATCCTTTCAATCAAGGCAGAAGGACAGGAAGGAAACACTAATTTATGAAGAGTCTAGTCTGGAGTAACAGTTGTATTCTTTTTTCCCTCCCCCTCCCCATTCCATCTTAGGAGATTTGTCTATTCAAAGTTTAACCCAGTAAACAGCAGTTCCTTTGTTCTAACTATGGAAGTGTTAGTAACATGCATTGTGCTAGAATCTATGCACGTCCACATCCAAAACCCTGTGGAGACTGCTCGCAGCATCAAGTGCTTTTCTAGCGTATTCTCCTGTTTCACTCTACCAGTTTTCTTGACCCCATTCTCAGGTTTCTCCCAGTGTGCCACCTGCTGTCTGTCTGTCGAGTCCCCTGTCCCCCAGAGCGCTAGATCTTCTCACAGTCTGGATTGAGGCTCACACAGCTGTCGGGTTGGAATGTGACGCTTTCAGTTTGGAGGCCCCTTTTCCAAGTTCCATGCCATCGTCTTAGTTTGCTTTTCCATGTTGTTGAACTACATGTTTAAGTCACTTTCATAAAAGCCTATGTTGGAGGTAAACTTTGCAAGTCTTTGAGAATCTGAAAATGACTTTCTGCCCTGACACTACGTGATAGGCATGCGGTGGGTTTTCTGTCAGTCTGGGGGCTGTGTCTTCTAGCATCCGGCGTTGTAGGTATTCAGAGGCTTGTTCTTTCTGAATTTTTTTTTTCTTTCTGGAAACTTTGAGGATTGTCTCTCCCCATTCCCCAGTTTCATTGAGAAACACTTGACATACATCACTATGCAAGTTTAAGGCGTACAACATGGTGGTTTGATTCACATATATGTGAATCGATGACCTCAGTAGGTTTCACTAACATCCATCGTCTCATGTAGCTACAATAAAAGAGAAAAGGAAAAAAAAATCTTAGAATAACTCACTTAAGAGCTTTCTGTAGCTCACACAGCAGGATTAGCTGTAGCCAGGTGTTGTGTAGGACTGTCGCAGTCTTCAGTATGCAGTTTTAATGGTGCTATGACTACCGGTAGATGCTACATTCTTGGCCTGGGCATTTTGGTGACTCACAGCTTTCAGCTATGGGAGGTCATATCCTGTATTCCTCTGAAAGTTTTTCCTTCCTGAATCAATTAACAATCGAGTCATTTATTTTTTATTTTTTAAGATTTACTTATTTATGCATATAAGAACTGGGGTACAGGCCAGTGGTGCAGGGGGTGAGAGGATTCACCAGAGACAGAGTGGGGAGCAGAACAGGCTGACTGACTGAAATCCACTGCTGAGGGGAGCCACAGGCAGACAGGAGAGGTCTGCTGTGCCATGTGAGTCAGCTCCCTGTCCAGGATCAAACTGTGCTGCAGTCACTGTGGACAGCTCCACAGTGCTGCACTTTAACCTCTTGTACCACCAGGGAGCCATTTAAACTTACCGTATCTTTTGTATTTTCTTGATTATTTTATTCCTTTAGAATATTTTTTACTTTAGCACTCTTCCTTGTTCTCTGAATGGTCCCTTTTCATTGGACTTGTTTTTTCTTTGTTGAGTGTGGCAACTTCTTGAATTTAGTAGATGATACATTTTGTATTGAATTTTTGTTTCTTGTGGGGTCATTTCTTTCTTCCTGGCTTGTATTGATTTTATATGACAGACAGTTCTCAAATGCCTGCTGAGCCTTGTCCGGTCACATTTCAGAAAGAAATGGAAAGAACTTTTTGCGCATAGGTGAGGCTTGTTGACAGGTTGGTTCTACCTCAGGTAATCCTGACAGGAGCTTCCCTTGTGGGGACGGCTGTAGGCATGTGCTCATAGTACTGTCTTTGGTCCTCTGAATACCCACAGCATTTTTTTTTTTTTTTTACAAATAGTCGGCCCCTTTCTCCCCCTCCAAAAAAATTTGGCCTAGAGAGATTGCCCAGCCACTGGCAGTTTTGCACTGGGGTAGTAGAGAGGAAAGAGAGGGTTACCTGGCCCAAGCACGGGACTTGGTATGTCCCCATCCTACTTCCAGGTTGATCTCTCAGTCCTCCAAAGTACTTGCCATCTCTGCACTGCTTGGGAACATTCTACTCTTTCCTCAAGAGTTCAAGGCTGTGTTTCCTCTTGCTTGAGTCCATGCTCCCATTTCTGGAAACTAGTTGACACTTCTCAATGCCAGTGCTCCACACGTTCTGTCTTCATCAGGAGTTTGTTATCTATATTCTGTTCTCTTCATGGGGTGTAAGGGAGAAGAATAAGGAAATGCCCATGCTCAATATTTAAATAGGAAGCCAGTTTACGAGGAAAGGGCATAAGCCTAAGAAATCAAAATAATGTGTGGTTTTCCTTCAAAACAATCTGTTTTCCTCCTCTCTTAGAAATGGTGGTGTGCTTAAAAGCTGTGCTGCTGCGTGAAGCCAGTCACTAAGCCACATGGTGTAATTCCATGATACCAAATGTCCTGGAAGACCCGTAGAGCTAGGAGGCAGCTTGGAACTTCCCTAGGCTGGGGGTGAGGGCATTGGGGGTCTGCTGATGAACATGGGCTTTCTTTTTGAGTGATGAAAAGTTCTCAGATGAATTGTGGTGTTGGTTGTACAGCTCTGTGAGTGTTCTGGCAGCCACGGTACTCTTGAAATGGGTGAGTCGTGTGAATTATAGCTCAGAAAGCTGTGAAAAAGTGGTGGTTCTTTCTGATGCCTAGGGTATCGTATCACTGATATTCAGTCTGTCTAGCACCAAAGAAGTCTTACTCAGTATTAAAGGTAATTGTGATGGGAAGGATAATGAATCATCTGATGGTCTCTACAACCCTTTATTTAATAGGTTCAAAAATAAAGAAGCTGGTGTATCCACCTAGTTTCATGGGATTAGCTGCCTCTATTTATTATCCACAACAAGCCATCGTATTTCTCCAGGTAAGTTAGACCCGGTGAGCTAAGATGTTTCTCATTCTTCACTATGTAGGTATGAGGTTCACTGCTTAATTTTAGTTGGCAGATTCTGTAATACCAGACTGAAATTCCTTTGCACATATTGATGAGCTACAGCAAATTCAATTTTTTCTACAATTTTTTCTGTGTACCTTGGTGCTGGCCTTCCAGTAATGTCAGGGTTCAGAGAATGCTAATTTGAATATTTAAAAAATGTAAGCTGCCCTGTTTTGGTACGTTTACACTGAAGTCTGGAGATTCAACCCGAAGTGGACAGTTATCACTCTTTCTTTGTGTGTGCAGCTCCTGCTACAACCTGCCCTCCTTGGGCTTGCACACGCTTACTGTTCCAGGGCCTTCCTTGCCCTCTCGCTGGTTCCTTGTTTTCCTTGATGGGGACTTTGGGGAATGCAACCCCCTCTGCTGTGCCAGGAATGCCCTTGGGGCTCTCAGTTGGCTGGGCCTTTCTGATCCTGCAGGCCTCAGCTTGACAGTGGCAGGCCACATGGGCACAGTTGTTGTCTTAATCTGCTCCAGCTGCTGTCTCTGAGTGCCCCAGACTGGGGACCTAAACAGCAGAAGTTTGTTTTCTCACAGTTCTAGAGGCTGGAAGTCCAAGATTAAGGTGTTGGCACGTTGGTTTCTCCGAGGCCTCTCTCCGACTTACAGAGGGCTTCCTGTTACCATGCTCTCGCGAGGCCTTTCCATGGTGCACACACACACCCCGATGTCTCGTCCTTGCATAAGCACCACCCTTCTGACCTCATGCAACCCTAAATTACCTCTTCAAAGGACCTATCTCCATATACAGTCACAAGTGGGTTCGAGCTTTTAATAGATGAATTTGGGACTACAATTTAGTCCATACAGCTGCATTGGCAGTTCACAAAGTGTGATCTCCTGGGAGTTTGTTAGAAATGCAAAGGCACATGCTTTGACCCAGACCTACCCACTGACACTCAGGGTGATGACCAGCATTTTGTTCCAGCCAGCTCTCCAGGGGATTTTAATTCTCACGACATTTGAGAACCACCCATATAAGCCAGACTTCCTTGCAGCAGTGATGTCGAGGTTTTACGTCCTGAAAGCTTATGGAGACAGGGACCTAGGTGCTAGAGCTGCCATACCACAGGAGACTTGGTTCTAGGAAGAGTAGCAGAGCAGTCAGCAGAGTGGAAGGATTGGGCCTAGATTCCTCAGCGGCCTGCGGTCGTGGTGGGCGTTCTGTGGCTCCAGCTGTGGGAAGTCAGTGACAGGCCGCAACCGCCAGTCAGGTCTTTCTGCGTGGGCTTGACGTTGTCTTACAGCAGTCCTGAAGGCAGGTGCTTCATGTGTCTCTGTGCCTGCTTCAGCCCCAGCTCGGAACAATGAGTCACATCTGCCTGCCCTAGATCATACACATCAGCAAGCACCACCTCGGTCTCTGTTCTGGCTGGAATAGTAAATGGATGGGGTGTGGAGGAGTGAGTGCTGCTGGTGCAGAAGCTTGTGTGGCTTCCTCTGGGGTTTGTTTCTTAGCTTGTATGCTACAACCTACATTGCAAAAATTCTTTTGTATTCATAGCCAAGATAGTGGGATGCAAGTCTTAGTACATTCTTATTTAAAGTCCAGGGGTAGAAGTTTTATCTTTTATTTTATACTTAGAGTAAGCCAAAGAAAAATTGACTTTATTTTCACTCAATGTAAAACACTAGTGGATTTGTTTAGGATGATGAGACAAGTTCTGGAAATGGGGAATGGTAATGGTTGCATAATATAGATGGACTTTATGCCTCTAAATTGTGTGCCTTAAAAATGGTTAAAATGGGGATTTTATATTGTGTACATTTTGTCACAATGAAACAAAATAAGCATCAGTGAAGACTGAGAGAGATTGATTATTACTTTAGTGTCATTTAGTCTTGTTTAACAGTTTGGGTTTTTTGTTTTTACAAATACCATGACAGTGGATAAGCCAAGTACTTGCTTATGTTCTGTTTTCTGTTTAATAGTGTGTGGATAAAAGTACTATAAACAATTAAAAGCTTAGGTGGTAAATGTTCTTGTCTCAGAAATTTAAAACACTGGAAACAGTGCCATAAAGGTAGAAGGTGCTTAGTATGTACTGACAGACCCAGGAATCATAGCATGTTTTTAAAAAAATGTATTTATTTATGCATACAAGAACTGGGGTACAGGCCAGAGGTGTAGGGGGTGATGGTGAGAGGGTTCACCAGAGACATAGTATAGTGCAGAACAGGCAGATTGACTGAAATTCACTGCTGAGGGGAGCAGCGGGGAGACAGGAGCGGTCTGCTGTGCCATGTGGGTCACTCCCTGGGCGGGGATTGAACTTGTGAAGTAGCTGCTGCAACTTCTCAGTGCTGCACTTTAGCCCCTTGCAGCACCAGGGAGGCCTCACATCATGGTTCAGCAACCAGTTGGGGAATTATTGCATGGCCCTTGGGTTCTGGCTTGTGTATAGGAAATGTACATGTTATTAAACTTTCATTTTTCTGCCACTAATTTGCCTTTTATTACAGTGACATCTCACCCAAAGCCAGAAGGATAAAGGAAAAATTATTTCTCCTTTCCTATACTTGGACCATTTATAAAGGATGCTATTGCTCATAACCAAATTTATTTTAATTTTGCATTAAAAAAATTCTACACATACTAGGTTTTGTTGGGGAATTTCCTTGAATGAAAAATAGAAAATGATGGGTTGACAGACATTTTAAAAAATGGCTGATGAAAATTGTAACTCATTAGCAGCTTGTAGATGGCATCTACATTGGTTCACCTATTTTTTACCTAAGTCCTGAAAAGTAAATGACTTATTTTTAGCTTGGCAGAGTGACTTGGTAGGTGGTTAGGTGAGAAGCTTTGGTTCTGTGTCTGATTTCCAGGAATTTCTCACAGCAGCAATGATCTACATTTTTTTTAAAGATTTATTCATTTATTCACACAGAACTGGGGTACAGGCCAGAGATGCAGAAGGTGAGAGACAGACAGAGCGGGGAGCAGAACAGGCAGATCGACGAAGCACACTGCTGAGGGAAGCAGGGGGCGGGCCAGGAGAGATCTGCCACGCTATGTGGATCTCCTCCGGGGCAGGCGGGAATCGAACTCATGCGGAAGTGGCTTAAGCTTTTTAGTGCTGTGCTTTAACCTGCTGCGCCACCAGGGAGGGCCATGATCTACATTTTTTCCCTTAAAATTGTGAAAAGTATATACCCATAATTTATGACAAACTATTTTTAAAAATACTCTATACAGCAAACATTTTTCTTATTGTAACTGTCTTTTTATTTGCTTATTTTGTGCATTTAATTGTGCATGTCTTAAAATTTCTGTGGTCATAAAATGTGTAAACAGTTTATTTTCTTTCTTACTGGTCATATATGAAATAGCAATAAAAGTTCTTTTATATTTTAATTCAAGGTCAGCGGAGAGAAATTATATGATTGGGGTTTACGTGGATACATAGTCGTAGAAGATTTGTGGAAGGAGAACTTTAAAAAGGTGAGAAAGTATCACTTTCCTTATTTTTCCTTTGGTTTAAATATGTATTTTCTCTAGGGTTTGCCCTTGACAACCTATTGCTTGATTTTGTTTTTTCTCTTTGTTTTAGTTGTGCCTCTGGCTCAGACTCTCTGATGGCCATTAGAGGAACAATAGAACTTGTGTGCATTTGGTTATTATCAGCAGAGCGAAATAAATGGTGACCATAAAATGCATTCCACAGCAGATGTAACTTCCATTGCACTCTATTTATAATTTGCTCAAAGTGTAGCATATTACTTAAAAGTTTTATCAAAACTGGATTCAAAGGGAACATATTCTGCTCCTGGACACAAGACAAGCAGGACTCTTTGTCTTGCTGTTTCACTTGTTGGCTTGGTTCGTTCCTTCAGCCCTACTGTGTCAGTTCTTGGCCCGGTCGGGGCCACCGGGCCACCGGCAGCAGAAGGAGGAGGTTGTGTGACTGTAAGGACGTGCCGTCTACATGCTGTCTTCCATCTTCTTGCAGCCACATAGCTGATTGAATGCTGCACATTTGCTGGGCCATTCTCTCCCTTGATAAGGAAGAATGCAGGACAAGGAACCATATCTCTTCCAACTTCTTAGAGCTCACTGAGGAATAATTAAGGTTTTATATCAACATGCTTTCTATGTCATAGATTAAAGGAGGTTCATTTTTACTCTGGCCATTTCAAATAAAATTACACTTTCCGGCCCTCCCTGGTGGCACAGCGGGTTATTAAAGCACAGCACTAAGAAGCTAAATCCACTTCCACATGAGTTCGATCCCTGCCTGCCCCGGAGGTGACCACATGGCGAGGCAGATCTCTCCTGACCCGCCCACTGCTCCCCTCAGCAGTGTACTTCGTCGATCTGCCTGTTCTGCTCCCCGCTCTGTCCCTGGTGAATCTTCTCACCCTCCACATCTCTGGCCTGTACCCCAGTTCTGTATGAATAAATAAATCTTAAAAAAAAATTACACTTTCCAGAATTTTTGAACTGGAATTTGGAAGTAACATTATAGAATAAATTATAAGTTTTCCACACTGTCTCCATCAACAGTCTTCCAGTAAAATTTTGCCTGATTTTGTACTGGTGGTTTATAAAGGAAGTCCTCTCTGTTGAGCCTGTTTAAACTAGCCCTTGAGTAGAAAGTTCTATATTAACATCAGGTGCCCTTTGGCAATCCCTTTTAAAGAATAAACACTCATACTTTTATTTTCATTTCTCTGGCATTTTCTTTGGAAGCTTTCTTTCCTGTTTAAAAAATTCCGTTAAGTCCACACTGAATTTTATGAGGGAAAGGAAAAGGAATGTCAGGACAGTGATACACAGCCTCAACAGCCTGGAGCAGAAGGGGGAAAGGAAACTCAGCCTCAGCACTGAGTGTGCTGACTGCTGTGACTGCCTGTGGGGGGCCCCTGGGAGGCCCCTGGGAGGCCCCTGGGACTTCTGAGTGCTCTCTCTGCCCTGTGGAGTTGGACAGACACAGCCACACCAAAGCCAGTGGGGGGACCCCCCACAGAGCTTCATGTTTAGAAATGGTTTTCTCTGCTTTGAGAATTCTGCCCAGTGCAGAAGTACCTGGCTGTGGTTGGAATGCAAGCTCAACAGGCCCGCGTTTTTTGTTTTTTTGAGAACATTAGATACTCAAAACTACTCAAATTTATATGCACATCTTCGGGGAATGACATGGTAAAGAGGTCTGCATTCCCATGTCTTCTTCAGAGTCATTAAGAATTTATCATTCTTCCGTTTTCTGTCAAAGCATGATTTTCCTAACAATTGTCTGTTCTCAATAGAAGGCAATAAAATCAATGCTGACTACTTAAACATGTCACACAAGTTTTAAATGACAAATAGTACAAAATCCTGTTAATTTGAGATTTGATATACTCAGATTTCAGGAATGATTTGATAGCAAAGTGTCAAATTGCTTGAGTGCCCTGCCCTCTTGTTGGAACAGTAACCTTCAGGACCCCAAAAAAAAGCTAGCACTTTGGAAAACAACTTTCAAGGCAATTGGGTGGCACTTCATGAAGGAGATGTTTGTTTATTTGTTTGCAAATTGGTTTTCAAGTCAGTCTTTAATCACCAGTCTCAATTTGGTGCAATCCAATTCATAATTACATGTAATGATGTAACAGGTACACATGATTTTTGATTGTATATAGTCAAAGAAATTTTGTGGGCATTATATTTAAATCGGGGCCCTGGCATTTTCAGTAGTATAAATGAGGGTTCAGTTCTCAATTATATTGTTTCTCATGGTCTGTATTATTCTAAAAGACTCTAAATAAGTCAGTGGCATTTTGCTGCTGTGCCACATTCCTTTTAGGAATAAGTTCTCAGTGTTCACACTGAGTCTAGTACTAGTAAAGTTTAGATGACATGGTCTTTGTTCTGTCATTGGTCAGTTCAAAGGAATTTATCTGTTTCAGCTGAACGAAACTCTTTTTCAGAACTGTGAAGCAAAGGTGGGTGTGTCCACAAATATTGTCATCATAGAGTGGTCTAGGGGTTGATTTTTCTGAGATGAAAGATTATATGTATACATATTCATTATATTAGTATGTACTGCTTACAATCCAGCAATATAATGATCACACATAGACCAGCCAACCATTCACCTTTAGAAACAGGAAATCACTAATACCCTCCCAGTTCTCCCTTGGATTCTGTTGCCTCAGAGGGAACAGAATCTTGTGTTTTTCATTCCCTTTATTTTTCTTTAAACTTCTCTTCTAATTTAACAACCTATGTGTATGTTCTAAGACATTGTAGTTGAGTTTGCTGCTTTTTGCCTTCATAATATGAATATATAAAATATAAATAAATATATAAAGTTGATACAAATGATCTATATATTGTCCTGCCACTTGTTTAGGTCCCATAGTATTGTGCTTATGGCCCGTGCATAGCGGTAGTTTGTAACACGGCTGGAGAATCTATCTTTGCTGGAAAATACCCATGCTAATCACTAGTGGGGTGGTTTGCAGTCTATTGCTTCTACACACACAGTTGTAAGCATTTTTGTAAATGTTTCATGGTTTATGAAAAGTTTTTCTAGGCCAAGATTCCTAATTCATAGGATCTGTACATCAGTTTTATTAGCTAATGTCAAGTTGTTTTCCAAAGTGCTAGCTTTCATTTTTTGCCAGTGTGGTGGCTTTAAAATATTTTTATAATTGTGATGTGCACGTGGTTTCACTTTATGGCCCAGTTTTTATTTTGAAAGAATGTGAACAGTACTGAATGGTTGTAGGAATAGTATAACAAAATAGACCTTTGCTTAGATTCTCTGATGACCATTTGGCGACATTTCCATAGTCTGTCTTTTTACACATGTACAGATGATATCACACACGTGTGTTTTACTTTTCTAAACCATTTAAATGTAGATATCATTGTGTTTGCCACCCATATTAATTCAGCAAGTATTTCCCCAAAACATGGACATTTGCTTATATAATTACCATACCATAATCATACTTGGGAAAGTTAATATTTCATCATTTACATAAATATTGCATAATACACAGTCCATATTCAAGTGTCCCCAGTTGCCCCAATAATATGCTTTCCTTCAACTAAGTGAATTATTTTAAGGCAAATGTTCTTGTAAGCATGGTCTAGGACAAAAAGCAGAAGTGTGCCAACCACTTTTCATGTAGCCCACCCCGTAAGTCCTCTCTCGCTCTCCAAAGATACGTACTTTCCTGACGTGGCTTTCTTCATGGCTTTACTGCCTGTGTATTCATCCTTATCATGTCAGTCTTGCCCATTATCTGGCTGTATATGTCTTTTAAGTCTTTTTTTGTTCTGCCTTTTAAGGCTTCTCCTTTTATTTTTCTTTCAATTTGTCCGTTAACCTGTTGTGAGCCTGCAGAAGTTCCCGAGTGTTCTGATTGCACACGCAATTCTGAGAGCATTGAGCACCTTCCTTCCTTCTTTCTTTCTGTGGATTGGCAGCTGGGCCTGGAGGCTGCTTAGTCAGGTTACTCTTTGACCCCTCTGGCAAGGCTGTGTGTCTGACCAGGCCCAGAAGTCTGGTCTTGACAGTGCAGGGTTGCTGTTGGTCGCTGTCGTTGCTCAGTATCTAGAGCCCTTGACACGGGAGTGGGGGGTGGGGTGGGGAGAGGGGGTTGGAAAATTGTGACACTCCACGTCTGTCATTTCCTTTTCACCTTAATAAGGAGCCATTATCTCCTATTGCTGTTTAGTTTCCCCAGTTGTCGTTATATACAAAAGATAGTGTATGTAAATGCTTATTTTTTTTCTTATGTATCTGGTTTTTAGAATAATGAGTTGGTTCTCATTCTTATAGGGTCACCAATGAATTTTTAAAAATTTCATTGTGGATTTGTTGGTGTAAGCATTCTTGATGTGCTTGAGTGCTTTGTGATTCTTATTCTTGCGAAAGTTCACATTGTCCCATTGTAGAAGTTGGCTCTAGCTCCTTTTGACATGACGGAGGTAGTCTAGATAGCTTCACTGCTATCTGGAGGGTCAGGATTTCTCTTTATGATTTTAATTTGTATTTCCTTGATTACTGTGACGTCCCACATCTTTTCACTGTTGATTGTTTCCTTATTCCTGAAGTGCCTGGTCTTGACCTTTTGCCATATTTATGGGGAATTTGCCCTTTAGTTAATGATTTATAAGGGTTCTTTATTTCCCCCCTCCCCCAGACACTAATATTTTCGGTTATGTATCTTTAGTTGTTTCAGTTCGAGGGTTGTCTTTTCACTTTGCGTGTGTTTTGACCGTCATAAGTTCTTAATGTCTGTTTTTTCCATTGCAGGTTTCACAGTGTGACTCTAGGAGCTTTAATTAAAGCATGAAACTATTTCTTGATTGTTCGTTGCTAACCTGCAATCCTTAGTCCCAGCCCAAATAACAGGGCTGGATGTGGGTACCAGGCCTCTGCTCTTTGGGGTAGTCTTATTACGTAAACCCATCAGTGTGCCCTACTATCATGTTTTTCACTAGTTAAAAAGTAATTGGTTATAATCAAAGAATTGTAGAGTGCCTGTGAAAGGCCAGTAACAACCAGAAAGGGAAAAAAATGTTAGTAATTTTTTAAAGGCAGGAAAATACATAAAGAAATAGAAACCTATTGGTGATGTGAAAACTGAGTAGAACTGAGCTGAGCTTTTAATAGTTGTATTCAGGCCCTTGCTGGCTCAGCAGGAAAATGAAAGGGAAGCAGCAGCCACCACCCTGAGTAAATATGCTCTGCTCTCTTTCCTCATTCGAAATTCCTCAGCTTTCTAAACACATTCAGGTTTAACTGTTGAGTTATGTGACTTGAAAATGATTGTGTTTGAAATAAATCGGCCCCAGAAAGACAACTACTGTGAGATTTCACTCCCACTATCTAAAATAAAATAGTCCATTTCATAGTGGCAGAGAGTAGAATGATGGTGGCAGGTTCTGGGGGAGGCCACAGTGGGGGCTGCTGTGCAGTGGGCAAAGAGTCTCAGTTATACGGATGAATGGGTTCTAGAGCTTTGTGGGGTGACATAGCCCACAGTCAACAACATGCCTGACCCTTAAAAGCTGTCAAGAGGGCAGATGTCAAGTTAAGTGTTCTTATCACAGTAAAATAAAATGAAGGGTAATGTGGTAGGTTTTCCAGAGGGTAAAATCTGTTCTGAATGTGTGCCCTTTCTAGTTTGTGCAGTTTAAAATTCTAAGATATAAAGGCACCGAGGTGATGACTTTTCTTTTTCTGTAAACATCATTATTTAACAAAAGCATCTTCTTTGTATCAGAAAAAAACAGACTAGACAGGATACCTTGGCCTGGTGGTGTAAGGTAGACTTGGAGCTGGAGCAAAGCCTTCCCTCTAGCTGGCTTTAACCTGGGGAAATTGCTACGGCCCTCTGGGAAACGGGTTAGTGCCTGTTTTGGGGAGTCAGTGAATTTAGCCATGTGAGGAACACATGCAGTGGACAGACTCTAGCACTTGATCACCGTGACAGATGTCATGTGATGCCGCACATTTTCACTTCTGCCGGAGCAGACCCAGTCTCCTGATAATAGAGCATGGAGCCAGAGGCTTCGTGGCCATTAGGCAAAAAACCTATGTGTGTCTTAGTCTCCTGCTGCTTTAACACGTGACCACAGATTTACTGGCAAAAGTCATACGCGTTTACTATCCTAGCCTCTGTAGGTCAGAAGTCTGGTACTAAATCAAGGTGTCAGCGGGGCTGCATTCCTTTCTGGAGGCACCAGGGGAGAAGACTGGTCCTGCTTATTCCAGTTGTTGACAGAATTCAGCTCCTTGCAGTTGTAGGAACATGGTCTGTTTTGCTGGCTGTCAGCCAGGACTGTTCCCTGCTTCTAGAGGCTGCAGCATTCCTTGACTCACAGTACTCTTCCTCCATCTTCAGTGTAGTTCAAGTCCTTTCCATGTCCCATTTCTGTGACCCTCTTTTGCCACGCTCTTAGACTGTAGAAACCACTGTGATTTGTTTGCACCCACCCAGATAATCCCTGTTGTGAGGTCAGCTGATGAGCAACTTTAATGCTCTTGCTGCCTTATCCCTGTAAGGCAGTGCAATCACAGTCTGGGTCTGGGATGCAGACATCTTGGGGGGCATTTTCCTGCAGACCACATCCAGTAAACTGAATTATATTGGGCTCTTTAATAGGTCACTTTTTCTTACCTTTTACTTCCACATCAAAAAAGTGTCCTGCTGTGTAGGACTGGTACTGTTGATCAGGCATTTACTGTGAGCATGACCCTGGGGCTAAACTCTGCTCAGGGAGAGTCTGTAAAGCAAGTGCATTTATTAAAATGAATGCCTCCATTTTCTAGTGGAACTTATTATTCATGTTTGTGGGCATGGCTTGAAAATAAATTTTCTATAACAGCATAGCCAAATTGACACACAAAACTAACCATCAGAGTTGTGCAGTTTATTTCTCTAGTCCTGTGCTGTCCAGTACCATAGCCATTTGCTTTTAAAATGTAGATTCACACCAGATTTAGAAGACAAGCTACAAATAAAAAGAATGTTAAGCACTGTCGTTGTTTTTATATTGCTAGATTTTTCTGTTGATCATATGTTGAAATGATAGTCTTTTAGATGCTAAATTTGATAAAATATATTACTCAACAATCTGATACAAGTCAAAATTACATTGTAGGATGAATAATGCATAAAATATTAAATAACTATATGAAAATAAGAATTTTCTGGCTTATAAGTGCCTTTTGAAATCGGAATGTTGTTTTTTTTTTCTGAGCTTATGGTGGTTTCTACCAAGAGTGCTCTAATCAGTTTTCCCCAATCAGAAGAATGTTTTTATGTGCTCAGTTTCCTAATTTTCCAGGAGATTAAAAAGCTTATGAATTTAGCATCTTTTGCTTTTGAGAGTGAGGTGGTGGGGAGTCTAGCTAGAATAGACAAGAATTGCACTAGAATTACTAGGCAAGCAGCACGTAAGGTCACTCGGATCTTATATCTAGACTCAGTAGAGAGCCCCAGGGTTTTTTTTATGCCACACCCAGTTGTTGGATGTGGTTTTATCACCTTCATGAGCCTCTTTTTCATTAATTACATGCTGTAGCATTTTTTCTTACACACATCATATCTCTAGGTTTTAACCTCATTATGTTTAGTCAACAAACGTATAGTACTGGGAACTTAGGATATTGTGCCTTGGGAAACTTGCAGATTAGTGAAGGAGTCAAATGTGGAAGAAGAATTACAGAAATCAGGACATATACAGGTGCTATGAATGGGACCACAAGGTCCTTGTCTACGTTGAAGTGCAGAGGGCAAGGGAAAGTCTCGATCTACAGGATGAACAGCATGTGTCTAGGCAGAACTTGGGATTGGCCAGTCTAGGTCCAGGCATACATTTTGCAAAGGTCTCATCCCAGGAAGGAGCGCGGCAATGTGGAGCAGCAGCAAAAGGCACTTATAAGCCAGCACTGCTGATGTGTGTGAGTTTGGAGGAGGAAGATCGCTCCTCTGTGTCCTGCAGAACTCCGTCAGAATGTCAAGTAGACCTATGGGTGTTAGGTGAAGATCAGCCTTCCATGGCCTTGTTCCCCGGGACTACATTGTCAAAATGTGGTGTGGAGATAGGGTGACCATATAATTTATGTTGACATTCAAGGATGTTCTTGAGAGTGAAGTAGACACTATTAATTAATGCTGGGACAACGGATGTAAACCAGGATGACTTGAGCAAGCCAGGATTGTATCATCACTGTGCTTAGAGATCAGCTTTCAACCAAGACCACAGAATCACAGCCCCATTTCTGTCAAGCTGCAGCCTAGTGTTTTTCGCATTGCCAGCTCATGAGCGCTCAGACTCTTGACCTATGCCAGGTTTGATGAGCCTGTTTTCAAAATTAAAGTCTTACAAACAGATAGGAAAGAAAGTAAGGCCTCAAACATTTAGCACATGGACTTTTCCCACTAGAAACTTTCCTACATCACTTCTCATGGATGACATGACCTAATTATATGTTCCCAGATGACAGCCAGACAGAATGGGTGTGGTCTGATTATCCTCTTTTAGAGTAAACATGTTTTGTGAATCGGTCCCTACGGTGGATGGTACACAGAGCAGATTGCCTACAGGAAGTATTCTGGGAGCTTTAACACTATCAGAACAGTGGCAGTGGCAGGGATAGGAAAGAAATCTTTTTATGTTGATTTGATTTTTTATAGTCAGCTGTTTGGCTGAATCTGCACAATGAGGATTAAGGGAGTTTTATTTCCTGCTCTCCTCTGCAACCCCTAGTAGTAATTCCTTCAGTTTGGGGAAAAGTGGGTCACTTTGCATTATAATAATAATGTTTGCATTCAGTCAGATACTGATTTTTGAGAAGCTCTACTTTTCCAACTGCACTAATAATCTTACTTTGTTTTTACAAGCCAGGAAATGTGAAGAATTCTTCCGGAAATAAGTAGAATACTCCACACTCTACCCGTTTTAATCAGGTAAAGAACACGAAAACACTCCATTTATTTTCAGCATTGTTAGAACCAATTGAAATGACTCATCTTTGATTGATTTAATTGACTGAATTAAATCATTTAACCATTTCAACCTGATGTGAAACATAAGGGTTAGGATGACATTTCAGTGCTGTAACTTACTTAGTTGCCTTTGTTCCTGAGAAGTAAGTACAGTACCTGCGTTTTTTTTGTTGTTGTTTTTTTGGTTTTTTTTTTGACACACAACAGCTGGACGATTGGGACTTGTTCACCAACTTACTTCAAACAATCAAAAGGTGCCTTTGTTTCTTAGGGTTGTTGTGGTTTTTGTTTTGTTTTGTTTGTTTACAAACACCCCTTATAAGCACACTTGTATTCATCTAATATATTCCATGGACATTTGTAGAATATATATGAAGATTGTATAGAGGAGATATTAAGTGACATACAGAATTCATAGGTGTAATTAAAGATTTGAATAACCTGAGGCTAGAGAAATTTAGGATATCAGAGAAAGTCAGAAAATTATTGAGAGTTCTTCTGTTCTTATACTCAATTGACCATTTATTTTCTTTTTTTTTAAAGATTGATTTATTTATGCACACAAGAATTGGGGCACTGGCCAGAGGTGTGAGTGGTGAGAGGATTCACCAGAGACAGTGGGGAGCAGAACAGGTGGATCTACTAAAATACACAGCTGAGGGGAGAAGGGGGTGAGAGAGCACCATGTGGGTCACCTCCCTTGTGGGGGATCAAACTCATGCTGCAGTGGCTGCAGGTAGCTTCATAGTGCTGCGTTTTAACCCTTTTTGCCACCAGGGAGGGTCCTACCATTTATTTTCATTCACTTGTTCAATATTACTTGTTTGAGTGGCTGCTAAGTACAAAACACTATTATATTGATAATTGTGTAGACATGAAAAATTATCACTTGTGATTTCCTGGTAATTAGAAAATTATCCTGAGTTTGAAATCAATGTAAGCATTGAACTATAGGAGCATGGTTATTTATGGAATATCTATAAAGAAGAATGTTATGTTTCAGTATTAATTAAATACTGATATTTTGCATGGGAACACATGCAAAATTATTAAGTTTTTTATTTAAAAAATTTTCCCTTTATATATTTCTAATACATATTTTGCATTATTTTTCATTTTTGTACAATGTATGCTTCCTCCTCTCAGGTTATTAAAATTTTTTAAAGGTTGGTATGCTACATTTGTAGACGGAGTAAAGGCCAAGAAATTAAACAAAAATGTAAATTTATATCTTGAGATGATAGGATTATGGGTGGTTTTTATATATGACTTTCAGGATCTCTTATTAAATGTGAATTTTCTCTTATAATAAAACATTTTTTAAAAAATCAGTGTTAAAAAAATCAGTATTGTCCATCATGGATATTGTTTAAAATTCATGAAAGTTCTAATTTTGAGGGTTTTTCTTTCTCAAGTTATCTCCACATTTTTGAAGACCTGAAGAAATCCTATAACCTTTCATTTGAGAGGGGTGATCTGTCCTAATCCCTCACCTGAAGCATAAATCTCTTGAAGTCACGTCTCGCCTCCACTAATATGCCGGTTACCCCACAGGGCAGATGACTTTGGACAGTTCAACTTTGAAGAAGTGGTTTCTTTATACTAAGCAAAAATGGGTTCTGTGTAACTCCTATGCAGTGGTCATGATCCTGCCTTGGGAGTCACAGAAAGCAAATCCAGTTCCTCTTCTGTACCCCAAGTCCACAGTGCTCAGATTTTGTTATACAAACAAATTAATTGGGGAGTTATTTAAAAGCAAAAGCCTATGTACACCCCAGAATTGACGTCTGTGGAGAGTGGGGCCAGGTGAGCATTGGCTTTACCATTAAGAAGAGAGATTGGAGGGTGAGCCATCTAAAAGCCACACATGTGGGCCCTCCCTGGTGGTACAGTGGGGTAAGCACAGCATTATGAAGCTGTCCACAGCCACTGCAGCACGAGTTCTGTTCCCAGCTGGGAGCTGATCCACATGGTGTGGCATATCTCTCCTGACCCACCTGCTTCTCCCCTCAGCAGTGTACTTCAGTCAGTCTCCCTACTCTGTCTCTGGTGAATTCTTTCACACCCCACTTTTCTGGTCTGTACCCCAATTCTTGCATGCATAAATAAACACATCTTTAAAAAATAAATAAAAGGCACACATGTCCTGCAGGGGCTTGATGTTGTTGGCTGCATTTTGCTACAGGGAAGATGGGAACTGGAATAAAGTGAAACTATATAAATAGTGTTTCATTTTTCAAAAATTTTCTGATCCCAGAGTTCACCTTTCTGCATTACAACCTTGATTTCATTCTATTAATAGTTTCCAGATTTCTTTCTATGTTTAAATATACATACATACATACATACATACATGCTTTTGGTTTTTGACAGAGTGAGATCATATTTCTCATATTGTTGTACAGATACACTGAAAGCTCCATGAAGGCATGTTTTGCAGTTTTAATATCACACCTAAAGAAATTAACACTAATTTCTTAGTATCTGACAGTATGCAGATTTCCCTGATTGGTGCACTAAAGACTTCTTATAGTTGGTTTGTTTGAATCAGGAGCCAACCAAGATCTGCCCATTGCACTTGCCTGGTAGGTCTCTCAAGTCCCTTTGAACTGTAGCAGTCCCCTCCTCCACCTTCTTCTCTTGCCATTTATTTGCACTTTAGAAATTTATCTGTTTGAGTTATGGTCGACATCTAGTGTCATTCTGTTTACCCCTTGCTTCCTCTCTTATCTGCGTTTCCATAAACTGATAGTTGGAGCTGAAGACTTACTCAGATTTAGGTTCAGTTTTCTTACAAGAATACTTCATAATGCTGTGTTGACTGAATTGATGAACTCGCTTTTTTCCCTTAACTGGGTATCTCTTTCATTAATTATTTGGCTTAATTATTTCCTACTATGGACCACCACGATCTATTGAATCCTTATTAACATAAATTATTTCCGTTTTGTAGTTTTTAACAGTGCACTAAATATGTTCTTAGAAACACAAAACAAATTAATAAACTTAGATTAAAAATGGTAAGTTAGTGATTTACGTCTTTAAGAATATTTGGTTTTATATTAAAAGATAACTGAGCAATCACTGCTGGCTAAGATATTTATTAACTTCTACTTGCTAAGCACAATCATTAAATTAGGGAAACGCAATCTGGATTAGACTTGGTGTATCTTTGGATCAACGTGTTTCTTTCTAGAAAAGTGTGTAGGTATGACATGAGGACAGGTGTACTCCAGAATGATGATGGAATCATGTGCTCTGGCAGATGAATGCGGGTGTAGTTGCTTGATTTTTAGAAGGGGAGAGAGTTGGGGTTGGTATGTTATTTAGGCGTTTTAGGGTTTTTTTAAATTCACTTATTTGCATATTTAATGATGTCCAGATACCTAGCCAATTGAGAATCTGAGTGTAGTACTGATAGGACACAATTCCTTTCTGGGTTTTCACTTACCCATCTGTAAGATGGAAATAATTGTACCTTTCTCTGATGCTCATGGACATTTAATATAAGTATTCAACATGGCTTTTGTATTAAATCCTAACAAAATTTTTCAAAATGCAAAATTTTAGAGTCATTTTTATTTGTTTCTAGCCCAGCTTATGTCTTTCTTTTCTTTCCTTTAGTTACAGGTAAAAATTGGAAACTCCATAAAGTAAACCACTATTTCTGCAGAAAAAAATGGCAGAGAATTCGTTATTGAATGTAGCAAATTGGCTTTCTTCAGGAAAATCTACATTAGGCCTCTTTGTTAACTTAAATGATGCTGAACTAGACGCGGACTAACTGAAATCCTTTCACCTAAGATAATGTACAAGCCTTAGAACTTCTCGTTCTCATGTTGCTGTTTATGTACATAATTAAAATTCTAAGTTAACAAAAAAGTTGTCCTGCTTTCTTTTTCTGATATTATTGAATGACATTTTAAGCATATGTGGTGCCTGTGTGTGTAGTGTGTCATTATGGTGTGTGTCCCTGGGTGTCTGTGTGTGTGTGTGTGTGTGTGTGTGTGTACACATGTTAAAGGAAACTGTTCACTTAAGGCAGTGTGAGCTGGCATACTGCAGAATCTAAACACTACAGCAAAGTCAAAAATAATTGCCCTGGAGCTGAGAGGAGATGCTTCTGTAGCCAGTATGAAGAACAAAGCTTTTAAGTGATAGTTTGCCTAATGCTGATTGAAAGGCATGTGAGAGAAACAGTGGCTGTGACCTCTTGTGTGTTGTTGCCTCTCAGTTTGTACAGATCTTGTTCTTGAATGTTGATGGGAGCTGCACAATGGAGCCATGGTGAAGGGGGTTGTGTGCTGGTTCTCTGTATGTAAACCTTGTGTTCTCTTTGGTGTTCCTGGAAGCACAGCTCATTGAAGGCCATAAATCCAGTGCTGGTGGGGACAGCAGGAGCCAGGACGGGTGGCGAGAGAACAGTGTGACAAAGAGAACTAAGAATTTCCAAACTTCATTTTGATTTGGAAATAAGTGCTCTTTGTAGTCTTGTAACATCAATTTAATTCCTAGTTGTTGACCTTCCAGAATTGATAGCAGCTGGTGAGACAGCAGTGCATAAATAAACAACACACACGAATGTTAAATGCACTTGCTCGAACCCAAGTGGCAGGAAGGGCGCCAGCATTGTGCGGGAATTATAACTGAGACAAATTTATAATCCCCCAAGTCACCCAGAAGTCTTTTATTTCCTTCTATGTTGACATACTTTTGTGCTACTGCACCAATTACCCAAATATAGGAAAGCTGTGCCTGAATTAAAATATTGCATTATAAATATACTCTTGTTGTTTCAGGCCTTTCCTTTGGCTTCACTCTCTACAGCACCTCCAGAAAGTAGAGATTCTACAAGTTCCTCAATGAAATGGCTTGAGCTAGAGAAGATGAAGAAATGGCTCACAGCACAGCATTCCCTAGAGATCACTACTCAAAAGGTATTTGAGTGCCTTCTCACTGTAGATATTACTTCCCATTTTTAACCCTTTGATTAGTGTTGAAACATTGCTTTAAAGCTTCTTCAGTTATGAGTCCTCACTGGTGGCACAGCAGGTTAAAGCACAGTACTGGCTCGGGTGACCCACATGGTGTAGCAGACCTCTCCTGACCCGTCCATTGCTCCCCTCAGCAGTGTATTTCAGTGTTGAAACCTTGCTTTAAAGCCTCTTCAGTTATGGGTCCTCCCTGGTGGCACAGCGGGTTAAAGCACACCACTAGCTTGGAAGCTGACCCACCTGGCACGGCAGACCTCTCCTGTCTCTCCCACTGCTCCCCTTAGCAGTGTATTTCAGGCGATTCACCTGTTCTGCACCCTACTCTGTCTCTGGTGAATCTTCCCTCCCTAACCCCCTCCTTACACCTCTGGTCTATACCCTAGTTCTTGTATGCATAACATAAGTAAATCTTTAAAAACAAACCGCTTCAGTTCACTGGGGGAGGTGGGAGTGGCTGTCTCGGAGCCAGCCCCTAGTAATATTTGAGACAGCAGGAAAATCACCTCCCAACCAGAATAACTCACTGGCTCTTTAAATTATGCTCTTTTCCATGTTTTAAGAGACATCATAATTCATAATTCAGTGAAATGTATCACTGTTGCCCAACAGCTGACCTCTTCCCAAGAGAAAATACACCTGGAGGACAATTGGAAGAATTGGGCTAGGGACTATTTATTAGATAACTTTAAGAAAGTATTTATTTGAAACATTAAGATATCGTAATTGTATTGTTCTATATGGGGATCACTTTATATTGAAAGTTAAAGTATTTGGGGATGAATTATCACCATTTTTGTAATGTATTGTGAAATGATTCAGTTTAAAAAATCCATAAAGACAACTGTGATCTTTTCCTTTCATGGTTGTTCTTATCTAGTACTGCCTTCTCTTTATATTGAACACATTTTGCATGTTCTCCATGAATCCTGATCTGTAGGCAATAACAAATTCCCAAATTAAAGTATTTTGCATTTTCTAGCTCTTTATACTTTTCAAAGTGCTATCTTCTATCCTTCCCTCCTTTCTGATCCCAGTACATTTGTCTTCTCTATTCTAAAATAATATTGTATTTACATTTACACTATTTATTGTTTCTTAGGGCCGTTTCTTATTTTAATAGAACTCTGAACATCAGTCCAGCTGATCTGTAATTAATACTTCTACATTAATAATTTTAGGGAGTTTGGAGGGAACATTGGCTACTCAGTGATTCAAGTTCCTCAGCTCTGATCTGTCCTATGAGAATTTCAGGGATTCCTAAGAAGGATTGCTTAATCAAAACTAAGGATTAGGCTTGGGGGGGGGGAGAGTGACATGGCACTAACAAACGCCTTTATCTAGTTTGTCTTTGTCCCCCGCCGTGGGGCAAAATCAAAATGATAGTAGTAGACGAGCAGGGCCAGCGAGCAACCATGCACCAGGGCAATGGGGAGCCAGTGCCTGGGCCCCTAGTTGCAATACTGATTCCCGCCCACACTGGCTGTGGGATGCGGAACTTTTTTCTAAGGGATCAATGACACTGTGCCCAGAGGGCCTAGGAAAATTCAAAATATAGGAAAATGCCCATGTTCACACATACAGGTGGAAAAATGTAGCTTGTTTGACAGTTCACATTAGGCCACCTAGTGAGTGTTGATGATTTTTATTAATGTAAAGATGAAATTCAAAACTTTCGAATTAAGCAAAAGAAAAGAAAATAGGACAGATGATTACTTTGCGCTCATCTTTTGGGCAAGGCTCAGTAATTAGCAAACACTTTTCTTTGTGACCAGCAGTATTCTCTGTATTAAGGCGAGTGGTTTATCGTGAGTATAAAAGTTTTCGTGTTTTAATTCAGTACACCCACCTAGTCTAATCCAAAAACCTTTGTCAGAGGCACCAGTAGTATATTTCTGGGACTACAACAATCATCTAAGGCTTAATTTTAATTAAAGGTAAATATTTGAAATACTGGTTTCATTTACCAGCAGTTGAGAGAAACTTGTTTGAGGTTTTCATTTTCACCCTGTCCATCCTGTCTGATGTTTTGTTTCCCTTCTGATAGGTTCAACTTTCAAGTCAATAATTAGCTAGCACATAGTACTAAAGGTACAAGTAGGTCAAACTCCAGACATGACCGAAGTTCAGACTTATTATGTTTATGAAATGAAAGCCAAGTCATTTCTGGGTGGAGAAAAAGTGTGTTTTCATAAGCAAGGGTTTCACTACTTACTTAGCCATGCTGAATGAATCACCCGCATTTCACACTTAGGGGCCTTTATCTTAATCAGCTTTCTTGTTAGACTTCAGCTGTGTCTGCAGGCAAACTAATAGTAAAGACAGTGACTCTTTTCCTTGCTCAATGCTCAGCAGCAACGTTCAGCAGCAATGCTCAGCAGGATGTTTGCAGAATCGGTAAACCCTCCTCTCGGGTAAACCTAGCGACTTGGGAGGGTAGGGGCAGACAGACGAACAAGGCAAAAGGCAAAGATGGAGACAAATGTAGGGTTCAGACACTACTTCCCACACTCAAAAGTGTGTCATAGTGAGCCCTTCCAGCATTACATGACGCAATACTGGGGTTTGTTAGTGACCCCAAGTTTGAGTATGCTTTTGTTCATTCCAGAGATGCCAGCTTTTAAATACTAGCTATCTAATTTATCCTCCATAGGCTTCTGAATTAGAAAATGGCCTTCAGTTAAAGGTAGTGTCTGAATACATAAAGTGCTTGCCCAGCATCGCCAGGAAGATAAGAGAAAAGGAATTTAGATGGCTTTAGTGTGTAAGGAAAGGATGGGGAGGAGAGAGACAATAGGACTTGTGTTTTCCAACAGACTTGTGAGAACTGACTCCAGGCCTGCCTAACATTGACACAAAAATAGCAAAAGCATTGGAAAGCAATGTCTAAGCAGGGAACTTAATATCAAAAATCTCGTTTATCCAGCAGGCTCTTCCTGTAATAAATGCAATTTGAACCATTTCTCCCTGCTCTTAAACGCTTTAGAAGGTCATGGTGTGTCTTTGTATGAAAACTTCAGAGAGTTGTATCTTCTGAGTCATTTCCTGAACCCCTCAAGGACACAGCTCTCAGTTACCACCCTGCTTGAGAGGGAAGCTTCGATCTGTTTGGGGGCATCTTTTTACCACCATTTGCTGTCACTCTACGAAGGTAAAAGCAGAGACCACCTAATATACCCTAAGTGTGGCTGAGGCCCTTAGAAATGAAGGTGGCCATGCTGCTCCCCAGCTCTTCCCTGCTTGCACCCCATTTGTCTCCGCTTAGTGAGGGTGGAGCTGGAATGTGGCTCCTTTTTTGTGCTGCTAAGTGGTCGAAGCATTGTTTTCCTTCCTCACTTTGTGCTCCTGCACCTTTTGGTCCTGCCAACCTGAGGAGACATCAGGAAGTTTCTTGGTGTGATCGCTTTTCCTCCTTGGGACAGCAGGACCTCTTTGTTACTGAATTCTAGAAAAGCTCGCACCCTTGTAAAACCTTTTTAAAGTCTTTGTATTCCTGTCAAATTCAACATCACTCTTAGATTTCTGAAGAACTTAATTTCTAGACATGAAAACCTTTTTTCTCTGAACTCCCAGAACACTTTCTAGATTTCTTAGGACCTCATGAATGTTCTAACCTCATTCATTCACACATTATCTCTATTAGACTTCAACCTCCTTGAGGGCGGGGCAAGTGGCTTTCTTCTCAGCGTTCCCACAGTGCTGATATGACATACAATGAAAATGGATGCTGAGGGAATTCTTTCAAGTTCAAAATGGCATGATGATTCGGCTTCCATGAGGAGCCTTTGAAGGTCCTCACAGGCAGTGATTTGCTTGATTGCCGCCCACCTGAGCGTGTGTGTCTCTGACTCCAGATGTTAAAACAGCAAATGGAGGAAGGGACTCTCTAAA